TGAAAGGACTCAGTCACTGCAGCTGCAAGGCTGTGCTTGATGGCGTGGTTTGAGTCGACTCAAAACACAAGACAAGAGGGCCACGGTCATTGGAGGTGAAAGGCTGTGCTTGACTTGACGTCGTCGAAATCAGAGAGCACAGGCATGGCATCACAACAGTGATGACGTTACATGCACAAACAGTAATGTGATGACACATCACATGGATGCCTAGAAACCATGACGTCACATGCCTGAATAGTGCTGACGTTAGATGTCTGATTAGTGCTGACGTCACATGCCTGAATAGTGCTGACGTTAGATGTCTGATTAGTGCTGACGTCACATGCCTGATTAGTGCTGACGTCACATGCCTAAATAGTGCTGACGTCACATGCCTGAATAGTGCTGACGTCACATGCCTGAATGGTGATGTGACGTCACATGCCTGAATGGTGATGATGTGACGTCACATGCCTGAATGGTGATGATGTCAGCACGTGTGAAGGGCTCATCCGTCAGCAGCTCCTTCCAGTTCTTGGGCTTCACGTTCAGCTCCTTGATGGCCTGGAGTAAGGTGGTAGAGAAAAAATAGGGTGCGAATCACATGTTCTTAACGAAGTGCAAAACATGTTGATCACTTTCTCATTCTCTTGGCTTGCGTCTCCCCCCTTCTGCATGTCTTTCTCCTACTCCTCCCCCTTATTTTCCCCTTTCAGCCACTTCTCACTCACCTCATAGCAGAACACGTTGCCGGTTGTCTTGACAGCCACGATGTGGGTAAACTCGGTAAACACCTTCTTCAAAACCGGGCAGTGGTACTCGCCTGCAGCCAGCAAAACCAATTCCAGTGTGACGAAACACACACAAAAAGCAAGAACAACTAGAAACAAGGTGTGAAACATAAAAGGTGGAAAGTATAGAAACGTAAAGAACCACGGCACAACCAAAAAGGGGGTTCAAGTTAAACAACACACATTCAGCAAACTGCACATGTAACAGAAAGTGGGGAAGACGGGACAGCAAGAACAACTGGGTTACGCAGGGTGGGACGAACCGTCAGCGTTCTTGTGGACGTGAAGCTTGATCATGACTGTTTATTAGGGCACTCTTGAGAAGAACTCTAATAAGCACGACACGGAGCAAAGACAGATCAGCAAGAACAACCGGGTTACACTGGGACAAACCGTCAGCGATCTTGTGGAAGTGAAGTTTGATCAGGTCTGTGAGGGTCCCTTTGAGAATTGTCACAAGGACAGCACTCAGCGAATAGAGGACAGAGATAGCTGGGTTACGCTGGTACGAACCATCAGCGTTCTTGTGGAAATGAAGCTTGATCAGATCCTTGAGGGCCAGAGGCTTGCCGGTAACCGGGTTACGCTTGAACTTTTGGATGTACGGCACGATGTTGCTGTGCCGCCGACCATGTGAGAAAGGAGTAAGAGAGAGGTGAAGGAGTAGGAACAAAGCAGCAGGTTAGAGACATTATTGCACGGATCCAACGATTCAAAAGACCACCAGCACAACGCTCAGGACGTGGCTTAAGATGAGTTATTCAATTCAGGGACACTGTTCGCAAGGAGTGCATTAGACCACAGTGGTGTGGATATCATTAATAACTTGTACCAGGCTTTCGTCATTGCGACTTTTGACAGTGTCTTGAGGAATTGCAGAAGGGAAACAAGGCTTACACTTTTGAGGCGCCTCAAAAGAATTTTGACAGTGTTTTGAGGAGTTGCAGAAGGGAATCGAAGCTTACACAATGTCGTAGACGTGACCCTCTGGTGAGCAGACTGGGTCTTCAAACGGCGTAAAGGAAACCCTGCAAACGAGGATAACGGGAACGGCAGCATAGGTGAGGGGGAACGGGAAGGGGAAGAGGAAGGGGAACAACGGGAAGGTAAAGGGAAAGCTGAAGGCGAAGGAAAAGGGGAAGGGAAGAGGAAGGGAACGGGAAACGGGAAGGGGAAGGAAGAGGGGAACCAGGAGAAGGGGAAGGGGAAGAGAAAAGGGAGAAAAGGAAAAGAGCTCCTAACCATTAGTTTCAGGACGCAAAGGTCAGTCAAGTATGCACAGAAATTGAAGGGAGGCGGCGGGAGGGAAGGGAAAGGTGAACTGGAAGGGATGGGGAGCGGACGAGGAGGGAGAGGAGAAGCGGAAGCGAAAACAGAAGGATCAGTCACGTACGCACAGCAGTAGAAGGGGAGGCGGCGGAACGGCGTGCGGGTGTCTTTTGCCTTGGCTCCCCCCCACTCCGAGGCCCACTCCGTTGTTGTGATGAACATGCGATCCTTGCTGTGCTGCTTTTTACCCATATTGGCCGACTATGAACGGTATCGGATGTGCGTGTAGCGGAGACGAGGATGACACGAAGGGAACCAACGATGCGGATGGATCCTTAAAGACGAGCCGACTGAAATGGGCCCGCTAGCAGATCAGAAAAACGAAGAGACGGCTCGGTAACTGCGCTTTCTCCTGGAACAAGTACAGTCGCTGTCACGCTAAATGGAAGCTGCAGCCCTAACCAAGTTCCTACACTAGCAAATCCATGTTTCAGTTACTTGTTTCAATATCTGCAAACGTGTAACGCTGAGTTCGCTTGCCACTGCACCTAAACAGCGAATCACAGCCTAACGAATACTGTCGCGAAAGCTCCTTGGCGAGCCTTTTCGTCGCAAAAGCAAGTTAGGCAACAGGATTCCTCTGCGGCCCCAAGAGAGATTTGCTCCAAACCCTTGTTTGGGATTCGTTTTTGCACACGTTGTCACCATTTGCTCGAGTGGTTCTCAAATTCAGTAATAATTGCTCGAGTGGCCTCGCCAGGGGATTCTCAAAGTCTTTTTTAAATAATGAACATTTCCCTTCAGGGGCATCTACCCTCGAAACTTCTGTATTGGTTATTGCGCGATCTTTTCTATCCGAAATTTATGTTCATGACCCTATATGACCGCGCCTGATTGGACGCTCATATAATCGACCAATCCTGCGCGGCCATTAATGGTCGCGCGCATCATATTTTAATGCCCGATCATATATTTCCGCAGTTATAAACTGCAATGCCCTTAATGACCGCGCATGATTGGTCAATTATATGCACGGTGCCTTTTTTGAATGGCGCGTCCAATCAGGCGCGGTCATATAGGGTCACGAACATAGATTTTGGATACTGAAGATCGCGCAGTAACCAGTACAGAAGTTTAGGGATAGAAACCCGTGTAGGGTATGTGACGGGTTAAAAAAGCCAGTGAGAATCCACTGGCAAGGCCACTCGAGCAATTATCACTGAATTTGAGAACCACGCGAGCAAATGGTAGCCACGTGGGCAACGCTGAATCTCCAAACAAGGGTTTGGAGCAATTCTCTCGGCCCCCAACCTCTTTCGTCAAGCTGCTGCACCTCGCAAACGTTCGTCAGCCTCTTACAGTTTTCCTGGAGTCAACCTAGCGCGCCCAGGGATCTTGAGCAATGTTTGGTCCGTGACAAGAATGCGCGGTTACAGCGATTTCTCCTTGCCAATCAGGACCGTTCGTCAGCCAGGTCGTCAATCGGAGTTCCAAGGCTCAGAGGGATTGGTCAGGAATCCTGATTCCAGGTCCTGGGGCCCGACGTTTTTTGGGTGGGTGGAGTTCCAAATGTAGGCACACCCTGCACTTGCTGGTTTGGGTCCAGTTGAGTCCTATTTGTTTCAGATGGTTTAAGCTGGTTTCATCTGGGTTCATTTGGGTTAGTTCTACAAGGCTGGTTTGGGCTTCAGGTTGAAGCTCATTTCTTCGGAACCTATTTCGCTCCAGAATTTCCCGCCAAGCTTTAGACCTTCTCAGACATCCATTCAATGCCAGACTCCATTCTGTGAGACGCCGCTGGGTGCAAAAATTCACAGCATTCCCCGCGCTCGTGGACTATTTCTTCTGCTGTGTCGTGCATCAATCTTCAGCATTTCTTTTCGTTTATCGTAGGTCCTCCTCCTAGAACAATATCTGTATATTTTCTTGTATTTTTACGGGGATTCGTCACCATGCGTCTCAATGAGGACCTTCCTGATTTTCCGAATCCGTTTGACAACGCGGGAGATTATTCCCTGGGTTTCGAAGTGAAGACCCTCAAAGAGCAGCTGCTATGCCACGTCATGGGAAACATCCGAGAAAAGACGGATTGGATGAGGAAGGTCATGGACGATGTGATTGTAGCGAAGTGGAAGGAGGAGCTGACGAATCCCGTCCGACCGGCGAAAGCGTATTTCGTGAAGAAGAAGAAAGAGACGTGTCGCTTGAAGATCCTGCCAGCGTGGTTTCATTCCTGAGGGACAACGGCAAGAGGATTGTCAAGGTGAATTTATTGCCATCGCATGTGCTCCTCAACCCCTCCCCTGAACACCTCCCTTCCACCCTCCTTCCCTCCCACCCCAAGTCAATGCTGATTATATCGAATGTTGGGACTTACTTTGCTGACTCCATTCCGCATGCATTCCCTCCTCTCCCACCAGGTGGACCCTGATCTAGTCGACTACGCCATTGAAGAGCTTCGCTGGCAAGCCTCTACTCACCACCCCTCCTCTCCGGCTATTGCAGTCTCGCCAATCACGCCAGTTACGCCAGTCACGCCAGCTGTCATGCCAAGCGCAGTAGACGGCGTCTACCTCGTTGCGTCGGCCTCCTTCCAACCTGAAATTCTCCAGCCGTTTCTGCAAGGCATGCATCGCCTGGAGTCCGTTCCTGAGGATCAAATTGACTACCAGCAGGATCGAACAAGCAGGTCATTGACTTGGTCCATCCATCACTCCACTGCCTCGTGTACGGCCGAACCAGAGTCATTACCGACCCTGACTACACCACCTGGATGTCCTGCCAGTGGACCAGATGGTCAGTGAGTTAGGCTGGTTGCTGACGCTGCTGAGCTTGCAGGTTTGGCAACGGATCCGGAGGAGGGAAGTCAGGCTGGGGTGAGGAGGAGGGTGGAAGATGAGTTTTTTTCAGATACATTTCAGTGGCTGCCAGCAGAGATTGATGTTTCTGCGGACGGGCACAGTGCAAAGTTTCGGTCGTACATCAACAATCTGCATCCGCTTGAGTTTGCAGAGACGTATCGAAGCCTGGAGAAGATATTTGCCTTGGCGTTCGTGCCGCTGTTCAATAAGGTGCTGACAGATTCAGCCAACCCACGACCACTGCGGATCACTGCCGACCCGTACAGGTAATGCTTGGTTGAGAATGTGACCGTAATGATTCCGTCCTACTTTCCGCTTATCGTAATGTAATCTCATAGTGACGGCTGTGCATGCTCAGCAAAAAAAATGTCGACTGGAAGCTCGCTATGAGCCAGCTGCCTAACAGCGCATGCGCTCGTTTGCTCCATTTTCCTCAACCCACTGCAGCTGGTATGAAGGCTGGAGGGGCGATCGGGAGTATGACTTAAGTGATGATGACGACAACGAGGCATATATAGAAGACAGGGAACCCATTCAGCCGGAGGTACCGGACTTCTCACCTCCCCAGAACCACCCATGGAACGGGTGGTGAAGCTGCAGGGAAGACGGTTACAGGTGATAGTGAAGATTGCTTCCATCTGCCTCACCCCGGACCAGCCCATGTACCCTGGAGGCACGTGGCATGTGGAAGGCATGAGAAATGAGAGCATCGTGGTGAGTCACTCTCTGCTCTCACCTGTACCAGCTACGTAGATTTAGGGTTCCACATGTTCTTGCTGAAGTTCATTGACAACTCTCTATCCTCACAGGCCACTGGCATCTATTACTACGACATTGAGAACATCTCGGAGTCGCGTCTGCGGTTCCGACATACGGTCAAAGAGCCAGACTACGAGCAAGACGACCGAAAGGGAGTCCAAATGGTCTACGGGCTTGTGGAAGAAGGCTCACTCGTGCAGCCACTAGGTTCGGTCCAAACCTCCACGCCAGGCCTGTGCCTGGCCTTCCCAAACCACTACCATCACTGTGTAGCTCCCTTTGAACTTGCCGACAAGTCCAAGCCTGGGCATCGCAAGATCCTTGTTTTTTTCCTTGTGGACCCTAAGACAAGAGTTGTGACGACAGCACGTGTGCCTCCTCAGCAGCTTGCATGGAGGCGCTACGAGCTGGAGAGGAAAGGGAACCCATGTCGGAGCCTGCCTTGTCTTGCACTTGATATGGTTGCAGACAGGCTGATTATAGGTTCATCTGCAGTAGGAATGAGTTTGGAAGAGGCGAAGGAGTACAGGGAAGAGTTGATGGAGGAAAGGAAAGCACTGGTGAGGAGGGCAAATGAGGAACTGTTTGAGCGGCCCTTCTCACTTTGTGAACACTGACGTGGGGTCTTCTGATTAAATGTAAATGTCTTATCCATATCAATGTACTGTACTAAGGCAATGTATGTCACAAGAATCTGAACATAATTTTCTAGGTGCACTAAACACTACCTAGAATAAAAGAACATAATGAATGAAATACATGGGAACAGAACGTCAACTTGATCCCAACTTTGCCTTGCTCCAAAAACCCCCACTTCACCCAGACAAGCACCCACCCACCATAGCAGCTATCCAAGCTGCAACTGTGTGCAAGCAACTCACCCACCAGAACAGCTATTTGAGTTGCGCTGAGTGGACGGCTCTAAGCCCGACTCCTTACAAATGGTTTCAAACACCGGCAACCGGCGAGGGCTGCCAAGCGGGGTTGAAAATGCACTTCCCAAAGATACACCGCCGCTCCTGGCAGTCGGAAGAGAAAGCTGAGACTTCAAAGGAGAGGGCACAAGGCCACCGGATCCAGACATGTGAGAGCCGGTGGTACTAAGCTGAATAGGAGAGGATCCAATAGCTGGAGAGCTT